CAGTAGATTTATTTTCTTTTCTGCTTTAGTTTCAAGGGAGGCACAATGCTTAAAATTAGCAAAATCTAAATTTATGTAGAGAAGGGAAACTAATACATGACTGGATCCCTGTGTGTTTAGTAACTGAACAGAAGCTATTTTACAAGCAGCAATTCTTTAGGTGATTACTTAGCAACAGGCTAATTTCTGTTTTTATTTTAAGAACCACAAGAATGCTGCTTCGCTTTTAATGGAGAGTGACCGGCTGATCAATAGCCTTCCCCAAGTAAAATGGACAGAGACAGCTGTGGCCTTGGCATCCAGGCTACAAGAAGAATGCGTAACATTTATTGTGGCAAACTTCCTACATGTCGTACAAACTGAAGGCTTCTCTATTTTTTTGCAGGTAAAAGTGCCCTCAAGTTATTGCGTGCTTTCTGGTAAACTGAATTGTATCACACTTTGGATAGTTCAGACTGCTAAGTAATCAAAAGAGTTTCAACTTTTGCTTTAAAGTACAATTCTGTGGAAAATAATAAAAAAAAAAAGGCAGTGCTGAGTTTTTTGGGGGAGTGGTTTGGGTTTTTTCCCAATGCTGTTTTAAAGTATATTAATACATTGATGTGCAGGGTTGATATTGCACTCAGGTTACGTGTCTCAGTTAAGCAAAAACTTTATAATCAATTTAGTGAGGCAGTTTCTGTGTTGCAAAGAGAAAAAGCGTTCAGACTCATAGGACAGCAGCCTGTACTTACAAGAATGATTAGGACTATGAGCAGTCTGCTCAAGCTTCTGCTGATTTTTGTTGTTAGTCGTAAGAACGTGGTGATGCTGCAGGCACGGTGAGAACGTACCTGTCATCTCACTGGTTCATTTCTCTCACAAAAGCTGGTTTTAATATGTATAGAGGATGAAAATTAATAAGGAGGTATTAAAACATTTTTGTCTTTGAATCTAGAGTTGCGTGTGGCTGTAAAGTCATCACAGTGTGCTTGTTCCTAACATTTGGGTTAGTGCGAGGCCTCGGGATGATTTGGTGGAGCCTGGAGGGGGGTGGGGTTATGGAGTGGATACAAAGGAAGATGCTCAGCTTTGGAATACCTCCTGCCCAGCCACAGCAGATCCTCTCTGCTCTGTGACGCTCTTGCATCTGAAGTACGCTCTTTTGTTTTAAACGGCTGCCTTTTGTTGTTTCCTCAGGCACAGGCAATGAGCAGCAAACCTGATCTTCTAGAACTAATTTTTAATGCAATCGAAAAAAGTATTAATAATGAAAAGAGCTGCTTGCTTCTTGTAGCTGTGGATACGTTGTTGGACTCCACAAATGTGAAGGAGATGGTAGGTTTTTCAATGTGCGGTGTTTTGTAGGAAAAAGTATTCTGGTATTGCTTCATGTAATGGTTCAAATCTGATGGTGTGGTTTGAGCTCAGGTGGCTCAGTCCACCAGTTGAGTGCACACAGAAAAGCATCTGCATAAATCCAAGGTCCTGTTGGAAGTGTAGAAAATCCTGGCAGTTGTTTACTGGATATTAACACTTTTTTCCTTTAAAGAGAAACCCTATCTATAGCAGTAAAAAAAATTGTGTGTCACTGAGAATGTAAGTCCCATGGGCACCACGGCTCTGTTGATCTTTGCTATCACTTTAGATTTGTCATGAGAAAAAACGTATCAAAGTGTTGCATTACCTTTAAACTTACAGGGGAAGAGATTATTCTGCTTCTCTCTATGTATATTTGCTCCCCTTTCTGCAAAAGTCAGAGCTGTGTTTGCTTTTGGTGAGGACTGTCCTCTGAAGCAAGGACTGACTCTTAATCTAGTGTGTGTTTTTTGGACTGGGGGAGGTGTCAGTCTCCATGTGTGTAACACACCATGTATATCTGCACAATCTAAGTAATATTTAAGCTGTGGTTGAATGTCATGCTGGGGATAATTCATTAATAGTGCGACGTACTGATTGAAATACAGAATGATGCTACAAGGAAAGAACAAAAAATAAATGCGACATTAATTACTGCAATCTGGTGCTGTTGTAGATCTTCCTGGTAAAAGCAATGAAAATTTAATCAGATACATTCTTTTTCCCTAGAGTCTTTGACCTTGTTGTGACACAGCTGACGGTAAAGAGCTATTATGGGGTTAATTTAAAAAAAAAAAAAGGCAAGGGCAAAAAGAGCAACGTGGTGTTTTCTAGCGCTGTAGTATGCCTGGGTTTTAAAGGACTGCAAAAAATGACTGTGGTGGGCAATAATCCTTCAAAAACAGCATCTCCATCCAGCAGACCATTATAAAATATAAGTGATGACATCATTGATCTAGCTTAGGGAGTAAGTAGATTCTGAAAGGAATAATGACTGGTTGCTATGACAATATGCCCCTCGCCAGCTGCTGATTTGTTACTTGAACACAGGGTTTTACGTGCAAGATCCAGGCTCTGCGTGATAAGCTCTGGGTCTTCCTGGTTCAGTCTTTTTATGCTGTTCGTCACACAGAAGGCTGGAAGCTGATGAGGCCAGACCATCAACAGAAAATACAAGCAGGTATGTCTGGCATCAAATGGCAATAGAATTTTGTAGCGATCTGTTTAGTAGAGAAAATGTAGGGGGCATGGTGCGGCCAGATACAAATGAAAGCAAAATTTGTGATGCTCTATCACAAAGTGAAGTGGCATTTTAGAACAGAGGCGTGATGCTAGTTTCAAGCATGGAAATCAGTAAGTCATTTTCTGTGAAAAGTCTCCCCTGCTTTTCTTTCTAGGAGTGTATATAACAGGAACCAAAACCCTGTAGGTCGATTCTATTCTTATTTACAGCGACTCTAAAGTATTGGAAATACTGCAGTAGGATTAAAAACCTTATCTGTCTCATTTTTAAGGAGATAAGCCATGTGGATGAATTAGATTTGCACAAAGCAGATTATCCATTCTATGAATTCAGTTTCTACCCTTTATCGTTTCCTCCATAATGTATAAATACTGCTTGTCTCTTGCATAATGCTGATCTTGTGCACCGCGTGGAAATGCAGACAGCTTGACTTCACAGTTGATTGGTATTGTGATATTGTGTGTGCTGCTGCAGACAGCCCCCGAGGAGCCGCATGGTGTTCTCTCAAAATTTTAACAGGCAGCGCTTCCAACAAAAAGGGGGTTTTGTTCTGAAGGTTTCTTTGTTTTGGAGTACACAAGTGTTCAGAGGGTGCGGAGCTGATGATGGAGCTCAGGGTATGGTTGAATATTAGCTCTGACAGTACAGTGTTGTAACAGAAAAGAATGTGTTGAAGACTTCTCTAAAATCAAATCACTTTTGATTCAAAGGAGAGAAACGTTTTGGTGTCCTTTCTGTTAAAGACATTAGTAGCTAGGATATGATAGTTGTAAAATTGTTTTTACACTGATAGGTAGATGAAAAAATTATTCTACAATTACATGCTGAGAGAAAGATGCAGCGACAGCCTTTGTAAGCGTGGTTTAGGTATGTAGTCAAGTATCTCACTGCTACTGTATAACACAGGTTTATGAATTTTTTTGGGGTTATAAAATCCTTCAGAGGCTGAGGAGCTGGCTTTAGAGACAGGAGTGGTTTTTCTTGCTGAGGGGTGTTCTGTTCTGTTCCTAGGATGATTGTGTCTTTATTGTGAATACTGTTTAGGCTGCTTTGCACTAGTGCTCGCAATACAGAAACAATACTTAAGGCTGAGGTGTGCCTTACTTGTCCAAACTCCATCTTGCCAGAAATTGTTCTGTTTTCTTTTAGATTAAATTATTACTCAGACCTAGCATACATTTTATATGTAAACAGGCTGCAGTGTTTGCATAAATGATCTGGTTTTAATTTTAGGCAAAGCAATCACACGATTGTTGTAGAAAAATTTTAATTTTCAGGTGAAAAATGTCTTGGAAAACTTAAATCAACTTTTACCTTAAAGATTTCTGGTAGTGGTTTATCTTCTAGACATTTACCCTATATCGAATTAGAATGCTATAATAGAGGAGAAAAAATGCCAAAAGAAGACAGATGATACTGTGGTATTTTTCATTTACAATATGTCTTGTGTTTTCTTAGGCACAAGTTTATATGGATTTTGTCTTAATATATTGGTATGTATTAATGTGCAGAGTCATTGCTAGAAAAAGGATTAGATCCCTGGGGTGCCATTTTCAGCATACCTTTTGTGTGATTTTTACAGACCTATATCAAATAATCTTTAGTATCTTCAGTAAGAATTCAGCAGAATTTTTGTTTGTGTTATACACAGATACATTTTTTTTTTTTTTTGGTATGTATAAACAGTATGTCAGAACATGAGGCACTGAATGCTTAAATTTTTTTAAACCCATATTTTGCAAAAGCTTTTTTCCTCTGAAACATTACTACAAACAAAAATGAAACCTTATCGACTGTGGGTCTGGACAGTGTCTATAAATATCCTTTTTGTATTCTGCAAGCACAATTGATTTAAAGGCTTTATTGAAAAAAGCTTCCCTCCCGGAGCAGAGCAGGCAAAAAAAAAAAAAGAGAAGGCATTCACTGCCTGAAAATCCCACATGACAATCACAGGGATAACTCTCATGACATTGCGCTGCATGCTCTCTAAAAAGGCACTATGATCTTACTGTGTACATCTAGATACTTTGGCTTTACTGCTTTTGAAAACTAATAGAATTTACCTGAATGTAATTCATCTCTTTAAGTAGTATTAATAAATAATCTATAAATTACATCACTTAAAATTCATTAGTGCTCTAAATTTGGAGGTCTCTTTCTTGTAAACTGTGTACACTTTTAAAGGTCTCAGTGCACTGCGAGCTTTAAGTGAGCTGAGCTGGGAGAAGCAAAAGTGTCTTACCATGGAAATGGGCAAACAGGAGAGTTCAGTCACTTGCTTATGGCCATGTGACCTCATCACAGACACCACCTTTTTTGTTCTGAGCATAAACCCATGTATTTCCACTTAACATTTGCCATGTCACCTGTCAGTAATTGCAGGATCCAAAGAACTGCTTTCTGATTTCGGATGATGTTAACTGAGTAGGCTGAATTGGTTTCTGCCTCTCTTCTTTCTTGCTAAATAGTAAAGAAATTACTTGTTCTTTTTACAGCTGCATTTGACAAGGGTGATGACCGAAGACTTGGCAAAAAGCCTGTATTCACTAGTTCTCAGGTAAACATTTATATCCAAATCAAACAAAACTATTTTCAGTGTGTGCTTTAAATAAAATATTAATTTTTCACATTATTTGATGGAACTTGCTTTTGAAAAACGTGTCATTTCTGTGAACTGTTATTTCTGCACAATCAGTAATGTCCATTACTGGGAACATCTTAGGACTCAGCCTATGCTCTGCTACATTTTCAAACAGATAAGCTCAAATAAAAGACAGGAATTTGCATTCAGAATCTCACATTCCCCCGTAGCTATGTCATGAAACTGATCTGTTTCCCAGAGCAAATGGTTTGCTACTGAGCTAATGAATCTCTGCTGTTATCACAAGCCACCGCAGCACTCGGTCTGCTACACTCCCTGCCCTGAAAAAACATTTTTAGTGCCCTCATCGAGTCTTCTGTTGACACTCATGCTCAAACCTATGTCGCTCTTTGGTAGAAAAATAGTATAGGTTCCACATTACTTGATGGTCTTGACACATTGCAGTGACACTGCTACCATAAAGATTCCATTTCCTGGATTTAATTCTCCATGTTCCAGTATGTATCTTTACTGAATTAATTAATATTGTCACTTATCCATCACTCAGACACTTAGACATGTCTATATCCTCTATAGAGAGTGAGTGGTATTTCACATGAGATTTCCTAGGCACTCTAGTTATTTCTGGTACTTTTAAATCTTTGAAAGCCAGCAATGTCAGCTAATTTTTAATATTTTTTTTAATTTCTATGCTGAATCTTGTTGTTTTAGATTCATGTACTGCTTAAAAAGAAATGGAAGATTATGGATAATTTGGTATTAAAAATGGCTTCTTTTTTTTGGGTTTTGGTTTTGTTATGTTTGGTTGGTTGGTTTTTTTGGTTTTTTTCTCTTGATGCCTTTTTTTTTCTAGCTAAACAAATCTAGTACTGGATCTGCTGGTACAAAGAATACTTCCTGGACAGAACACAACAAGAAAGATTGCTGGAGAGGTTCTTCCACTAATCAGGATAAAATGAAATCTGATGGATTAGGAGCATCTGGACATACATCAAGCACCAATAGAAACACTGTTAATAAGGCTTCAAAGCATGAGGATGTAAAGGGGAAAGATGGCAAAAAAATAGTTTCCAAGATTACTAAGGATTCAAAACCTGGGGAAAAAGCTGCTTCACCAAAGGCTAGAGCTGTTATAAAGACAAAAATAGAAAATAATGGAAATGTGAAGGCTGAAAGCGTGCTTACCAAGCAAGATGTAGAGAAAACATCATCTGCAAGTGGACAAAAAAATTCAGGAAGTGGCAAAGGACTAAAGAACCATGAAGGAAAAACTGCAGGTGCCAGGCCTAAAGTGCTGACAGTAACCTCAAGTGTCCAGATCAAAACAAAACCGTTGAAGAAAACCACAGGGAAGGAATCTCCCTCCTTAGTGACTGTGGCAGGAACTTCCAGCAAGTCAGCAAACTCGAGCATTGATATCCAGACTGCCGGGGAGCAGCCAGAGGAACCCAAAGAGGAGAAACTGGTAGAGGAAGGGAAAAAGCAGACTGGTAATTTTTTTTTTATTATTATTCTTTTTTTTAAAAGTCCCCTTCTGATGTGTCCCAGGCTGCCTATACACTGAAAACCAGCCTAGGAAGCTTTAAAGGAAGTTTACTATAGACTGATGAGTCACTTTCTTCCCCTGTCAATGAATATTGACTTGAGATAAGAATATTACATTTCTCCTCTGTTAGCTTTATTTTATGATCAACTCATAGCCATAGAAAATGGTAAGTTTTACAAGTTCAGCATCTATGCCATTTTCAGTAATATTTTTCAATTATTTTCAATGATAGCTTTTCAGTACTTATGCAATGCATTTCCCCCTGTAATTAACCTTGAATTTACTTTACAACAGTGAAAACAAAGTCATCTGTGAAGACACCAAATGGAGTCGCCAACAAAAAAAAAAAGACTGAGCTTGATGCTAATACCACAACAAGCAGGTATGTTACAAATGAATATGCTGCTTTACAGATGTGTGTGTGTTTGTGAACATAAGTTTCAGGTGAACTATTAAACTTGCTCTTAAATCAACGTGTTCTTTTCAATCTGAGAATGGCTGTTGCATGTTACTAGCAAAACAATTGGAGTTAGCTATTGGAAACACTGCTGTAAAGATCAATTGGTTTGGCTTTTGTGTTGGATTGTTTCATGCTAATCATTTTTAAATTCTTATAGGTCATTCAGAATTCTGCATGCTGGAACAGTTAATGACTACACAAGGTGGTGTAAACTTATTGTTTCTGGGATAGCTTTCCCAGAAACTCCTAAGTTTCTGGGATAACCAGACAGGAAGACAACTGAAGCACTGTGAAACTGTGAAATGGGTCATTTCTATATGTGTGTGTGTGTGTGTGTGTGTA